TTGTGTGCAACTTTTAAGCTTGTGTTCTTTTGCTCTTCAAATTCCATAAGCATGGATTTACATTTTTGCCCAGATGGATCTTACAACTATTTTTTTTCTTCTCAGCCTCAAAGTATTGGTTGTATGCTGTTCTAGTATTGGAAGCACTGCAGAGAAGAGCCTTAGTCATGGGAACATTTCCAGCACCTCCAACTGTGGCCAAATAATCCATGACAATGCACTGTGTGACCAGAGTCTGCAGTTTCACATTGTCAGTGGAAATTTTCTTATTGACCACGAAACCTCTCTTTACTGAAGCCTGTCCATGAGAATACCAGCAATCTGTGAACAACTTTCCAGAGTTTTTGATATTCTTTGTTGTTAGACAAAAAGTATTTTACAAATTGTCCAGATGGTCTTCATGCTTGCTGAAATTCTTGAAGGCAATATTTCCAGTAGCCTCCTCCTCAAACTATTTGTACTGACTGATGATGTAATCACAATCAGACTTGTTGATTTGTTTACTGTCAATCACATGGGAAAGGCATCTTTTTAGACTGTCTTCAGTGACAGATCTTTTGCGAATGGTTTCAGGGTTCAGCCATGCAAGTAACCTTACAAGAGGGTAGACTTTGCCAGAAGCTTTTCAACAAAGGCAATGAACATTGTTGCAATTCTGCATGCAAACAAATCTTTTGATACATTTCCTTTTTTGGATAGATTTTGCATAGCCCTATCTGCCAGAAATCAACACTTGATCTTTGGGTTTGACAAAATTCTTAGAATCTCATTCAGTTTGGAAAATGTAATTTATCTTTTTAGTATGCTCTTTCTTTACAAATCTTAAGTTTCATGATCATGCTAAAAAAAGAATCTGCAAGTAATGGTTTATTGCTCTGATATTTTATCAGAAATGGTTCAAAACCTGTAGTTGTACTGGAAATAAAACATCATTCATGTTTGACCACAGCAGAGAAAGATTTAGTCTGAGGACATTTTTCTGTTTTTTTTTTAAATTAAGTTCACCAATTTGATGATATTTAGCCAAATGTCTAGGAGTCATTCATATGTTTGTACATTTTCTAGCCATCTATGGCAGAAACACAAAATTAAAAGGCACAGAGTTGCCAGACTGAAATTTTAATTAATATAAAGCCAAGCAATAAAAGACAAACAAGTTTAATATATTTCATCATTTTTTAACACTTACAAAAGCTAGAGATACAGGTCATTATTACCATGAAAACTTTAAAAATAACATTATTATTTATTTTCAAAGATACATTTTCTATCCTAAGACACGTCAAAGGCACATTTTCTATCATCCTTCCAGTCTACATTTTCTCAAACTTGTTCCTTTTGGCAAAATTTAGACAAACATAGTTTACACACTGACAATTATGCATAAAACATCTTTATTTTTTCAACATGAACTCACCAACCAATGACAAAAGATCAAAAGGGATTTTTACTTTTGAAATTGACATGGGAATAAAATTTCTTCAATTGTTCAAATTTTAAAACATTTTTTTTTTAGATTCTACTAAAATGTATTTTATAATGGTAAAATAATTTATTGTTTTCCTTTCAGCTACAAATTCAATGAGTGTGAATTAATTTATCTTTGATGGAAATGTTTACTTGTCTCTGACACTTGTTATTTTTGCTTTTCCTTTTTCCTTGTTGATTGATGGTAGCAGCCTGGAGAAGATACACCTTCATATTCTTTCTCGTCACCTACACAAGAAAATACAGAAGTAGCTCATAGCTGTTTGAGGTTTCCTATAGCCCCACTGAACTTAAATAAAGTCAATTCAGGTTTCCTATGGTAAAAATTTTCTTTCTCAAGTGAAATCATCACAAAAATGGTAAAAGTCATTTTGTCACAGCTTATTTTCTCTCAAAAAATGGATTTTCATACTTCTATAGGGGTAAAATATTGAAAAGTGACTGTTTTATCATCACCTAAACTAATATCAAGGAAACTTTTGATCTGAACCCCCATGAAACTAGGTATTTTCTGAAAGCAAAGGATATATTCTTTCATTTAAAAAGCAAAATTAGCTGGTGTAAATGACTCAAATTTTTTTTTTCAGTGGGTAAAATGTGAAAAAATAGTGAAAATTTTGCATTTTTTTTGTTCTAAACAAATATTTCCCCATTAATGGGAAATTAACCCTTTTTTTTTTTTTTTTCATCAGAAAGCCTAAATCATAATCAAACTATTTCAGGCATAAAATTGAGTTTTGAAGGAAATCAACATTCCTAGGGGTTCAAAATGCGACAAAATCCATTGTTAATTTTCAATTATATGACTGCCCAGGGTTAAACATAATTGACACCCGGCCACGAAAATCTTTAGTAAAAGGCAAAAGATTTATCTGCAATTCGTGACCACCAGAAACCAAAAGTTTTTTTTTTCCAAAAAAATAGTGATAAGGAAAATTAAACCTAATTGACTTTGACATCTAGGTCAAAGGTCAGCCAGCCAGCAATAAACAGTAAACCTTAGAACAAGTTGTAATAAAACCCACCACTCCCAGATAAAAGCAAAGAGTGAAAAAAAAAAAAAAAAGGGTTCAACGTTACTAGGACTTGATATAACCTATGTTTGAACAATGGCTTGATGAGTTTTGTTTTGTTTTTAACACCCCGTGACCCGGGTGATGACAACAACACTTAGCAGACGACTGTTTTTTTTCGACGCATATCTTTCGGATTTCCCATCGACGGTCCATTTAGCCGTTCCTTTTATTCAATGATGTTCATGCCAAATGAAAGAGAAAGGAATGAACTTTGAATGATGTTATTTTGAAGTGAAAATAAATATTTTTTCATAAAAAAAATGGGATTTTTCTCAGGAAATTGGGCATAATTTCTTAATGCTAACCGCCGAGTGACATTTTCCACAGCCAAATCGAAGATTAATTACCAGTGAATAATTCCATGTGCAAACAATAGCCGTCTGGATCCTATAACGTCGCCCTAAAAGGTCCAGATGTTTACTAATTGATCGAAAACCTGTTGCGCATAATTGTATTTTTCACGGTCAGTTTCCATTATTACATCTTGATATTATCATTTTCGGACAGCCAAGTCATCAAGGATTCAGGAAAACAATTTGGCATAGGTTTTCTTTAAGAACTTTACATTCTATGAGGTGTTTAAAATGTTACTGACGAATTAGATTTTTTGCTGAATATTTCGTTTACGCGCCATGTTGGATTTTCCTATATGACAAAAACAAGGCTTTTAAACAGCTGTGAGCTATGAGGTCACGAACTAGTTCTAATTAAGGAAAAAAACCATTGTTAGCAATTGCCAAATGTTATTGACGATGAACAAAAAAAAAAACATTTTCTTAAAGGACAATTTTAGATTGTAAAAAAGCCAAATTTCTGGGATTTAGCATTTTGACTTTCATGAATTGAGATGTGTGGCAGCCCAATTTAGAAAATTCCAGGACTTTTCAAGGAGCCTTTGAGCTATTGCTATTTTTCCAGGACATTTCAAGGTTTCCAGCACCTGTACGAACCCTGTATCTAAAGACAAATGTTTCAACTTGTTCAATATTATCCAACAAAGCCCATCAAAAATAATAATTTCTGCCTTTTGTCAGAACTAAAAAATTTTTTTATTACAGCACTGGATGTAAATATATCAGTGACTCTCAATGTAGAAGTTGGAGTAATAGTACACTGCAACCCAATGGCCTTAGCACTTGTAACTGAATTTGAAATGGTTCTTCATCACAAATGTTAGATTTGTTTGAATACTCAGATTCACTGAATGCCTTTTCTTCTTTTAAAAGATGAAGATAAAGTTCTATTAAAAGTTATATCACTGTAGTGTCTATTCCTTTTGTCACAGTTTATAACTGCATCAGCATACATTATAAGGAATTTGGTACCTTCTTTGGCCGGCTTCTCTTACTTAGAAAACTACCTCTAAAGAGTTCATCATCCACTGAACAGAAGATTAAAAGTAAATTTTATTAAACATCTCTGTAGGGGTCTCTGGCATGGAAAGCACTAATACACAAAAGAAAAGAACAGATACTAGCTTAAAAAAGTATATTAAGCATACTGTAATGGCTAAAAAAAAAAAAACTATAAAATGTATCCATTTCACTTATTTCACTTTAACCTCTGAAATAGGACCAAATCAATAGAATTAGTAAAAAAAATATTTAAAAATAGATTACATTTGAAAATTATCTACATTTCAATTTTTATGAACCCATGTACCAAAGTGAAGCTAAAACTTATTCAGTTCATTTATTTTCTAAAAATATATCCAGTTTAACTTTTTTTTATTTTTTATTTTTTTTAAAGAAAGATAAATTTTCAATTTAATTCTCAAATCTTGAGTATTAGAGAAAATATTGTCAGTCCCATATATAAATGAAATGAATGACCATAAAAATAAAAAACTAGATACATCTTTAAAAATTATATCTTAATTTAAGGAACTAAAAATATATCCAGTCTGAATTCTGTTTAATCTTAGGCACACCAAATTGATTTTTTTTCTTTAAGATGGGCTTATGTTGATGTGTAGGGAGACAAATCAAAGTGCAACAAAATTTGAAAAACACCACTATAAAATTGTTAACTTTGAAAATATGGAAAAGGCTCTGCCCATCATTGAAATTGTGACACAATTTAAAAGATACATAGAATAACTAATCCTCACACACAAAAAAAAGAATTGTATCTTCATAAAGTAAAATGATTAAATTTATATATACTAATTTTATCAAAATAACCTAGAAAATATACAAGATATCAGCAGTTGAAATTAAAGAAAACTTTGCTATTTTGACACATTCTGGCAATGTAAACTAGTGCAGTTTGGGATGCCTAGTTCAATGATAGAATAGTGTTTATCAGCCGTCACTTTCCTCCATTATTATCTTAAGGTATGAAACTGACAATTACCAGTGTTGATTCCTGTTGATGTCATTGTTTCACATTTATATATTATATTTATGTTAAAAGAGAACAAATAACAAAACTTACCAGTGTGGCTGTCATAATCAGAATACCCACTTGGATATCCGTAAGGAGTATCCTGGAGAAGAAAAAAATTGAAGTAAAAAAAAAAAACACACACAGAAACAGATTAGCCAAACAAAATGGTTTTCAGCTTTCAGAATAATTGAACAGCAACCAAAATAATATCACCCAGGAGACACTAAAGTTTTCTTCGTAAATAGATTTTCTTAATCCGAACATCAATTGACTTCTTGGTTTCAGTAAAGGGCACACTAGTTAGCAGAATTGGATTAGTTCAATAACATTTGTCATGCATAGGTCACCTTTATATAAACTGTACTTAAAAGATACGAATCATTTTTTGTGCAATATGATCATTGACAAACCAACATTCTTTTGTTATTAACGATTTAAAAGTATTTTCCAAAGCCCATAGACAGTCAAATAATCTTTGCCTCAAACAAAATGAGCACCACTTTTATCAGCAATAATTTAGGTCACTGAATGAGAATTATAAACTATACAAGAAAAATTTGTAAGAAAATATTTTATATTCACTATTTTTAAGACACCTTTTTAAATCAGTTTAGAAAAATTTTCAAACATTTATTAGATCTAAAAGAAAACAAAATCTTACACCTCAGAAGTTAGTGCACTATTTACATTGCTTGGACTATCATCCTATCTTTGTTGCCAGATTTATTATGTTGGGAGAGGTATCTGCAAAGAGTCGTCCAGCTTTTGAAGGTTGTCCTGATGTTAAATGGACTGCAGATCCTTTGTATTTTCTCCGATACCCCCTCCACATAAGGCAGGCAGACTGTTTTCTGAGTGTTGTTGTCCTCCTCTTGTACATGCCTATCCCAGTTTATTGGGGCTGCTGCCATGTACTCAGGGTAGTTGTTACGTTGTAGGGTACTGCTTATACTGACCAATTCTTTATCTAATGTCTCCGAGTTGCCACCTATGACTTTTGCAGCGGATGATCCCTTTCTTTACGCTGTATGGTGTCAAATAAGACACCCAGTTACAGAAAATCTGATCGGAGTCATAAAAAAAAAACAAAACAAAAAAACAAATCTAAGACATTATTTAATTAGAAAAGCTTTTAATTGATTTTATGAATAAAAAATATTATGGATACTATTGATTTATGAAAAAAAAATTTTTTTCAATAAATAATGAATTTTTACAAGAATGGTTTTCATTTTTTTATATTTTAATTAGAACAATTTATAAAGCTTAAATCTTTTAAAATTTTATATTAATTTGTAGGGATCAAGTGACATAAATTAAACTGTATTTACTGGAAAAGCTTATAACAATTTAGCAAGTCCTCAGTATTATTAATATTACTTCCCTTTCCACTTATATATATATATATATATATATATATATATATATATATATATATATATATACACACACACACACACTGAGAAGTTAAAATAAATGATAAAAAAAAGGCATTTACATTGTATTCGTCATCTAATTTTATGACAATTATCCACCCTTACATAAATTAGCCAAACCACAAGCAGTTGATAAATGTCAACACCCCATAAAATACCAAGATGTGTAAAGAAAAAGAAGAAAAAAACAAACAAAAAAAACTGCTTTTCTGCAATATTTCAAACTAAAAATATTTGTTTCAATTCAGTTACTTTTTTCGGAAATAACATTTCAAAAAGTATTTTTATTTTTGAAAGTTATTTTAAATAAAAAGAATTTTTGAGGTTTGTCAATATGGCTGATTTTTACTGAAAGTCAGGAAAAATTCTCCAATCAATTTAAATTTAGTTTGAAATAGCCAAGTACTCTACTTATTAGAAACATTAAATTTAATCTATCAGCTTGGAATTAAAACTAAAATGTTTCAAGATTTTATTTTTACCTACTATAGAAGAAGTAAAAATTGAAATTAGTACAAATAATTTTTCCTTGAAAAAGATTAGTTTTGCCTTTTAAATTTTAAACAAGGTAAATTGTAAATTTTTTGATGATTTCAAAGTCATGTAGTCATTTTAAATCAAAGTTTTGCAGTCATTTAAGAAACAGGATAAGTAAGTAGATAGGGTTACCTACCTAAAAGCCTTCTACAAATTCCATTCCAGATCACCTATAAGGATATCAATCACCAAAGGAAGTTTCAAGATATCCTTTATATTATAATGATCATGATAATCACAAAGATCACATACAGTCAGCTTCAGGTGTAGATTTTCTGAGTTTATACTGGATGGCCAAGTATTATTCAAGAGTCAATATACATTTACTCCTCAGCTGATCATGCTATAAAATTAACCTCTCATAGTAGGATTGTCATTTCAGTTGAAATAACATCTGAGCTGGGTTATAACAGCCTAGAATGTGTCATAGGCACTGCAGAACACCCTATTTTTTTTTTTACTTAATATTGTTGATAACATTCAATACAGGAGTTGTTTTTATTTCATTTGATTCTTTCTTGTACATTATATAATCCTTAAAATTTCAGTAGCCATACCCTCATGTCTGAGAAAAAGAGCTGAATGTTGGTTAGAGAAAGCACCGTCACTCACACGATACCAACCTTGCTGTCCAGGCGTAAGGTAGTGCTTATTTTTGACTGCGTGTATTCTGCTTAAAAATCGTATCATATTCTTGAATATGATAAACTGTAAATGACTCATGCTTCCAGCTATTCTATTTAATTCATTATTTTTTGGTTGTTTCATTGTATAGAAAATTTTTTTAATAATTTAACCATAAACTACTTGAAGACCAAAGAAATATGTTCTGTGACAGTGAACTTCATCAGCTTAAGTTTTTCCAGTTGTCTCTCCATGAGAAAGTTAGTTAAGAAAAGGGGCCATTCAACACCTGACATTCAAATATCTCAGCAATGAATAAAGCAACAAGAGGTATATTTGTAGCTTTAATTCTGAAATTTGGCTCTTTGTTATAAAGTGAAAAATGCATTGTTTTGCTTCTTGTGTTTGCTGTTTGGAGGTGACTTAATGTGGACAAAAGACAGGTTTAGAAATATAAACAAAATGAAAGAAAAAAGCTGAAAGCATGAGAAGTCAAAGGAGGATATTGAAAACGTGATTTCACTGTCACTTTTAGGAAATGTAAATATGAAGAAACCTTGTGAGGCGTACAGACTTTCAATCAAGGTGTTTCTAAAATCATTCAGAATGAGATAATTGCCTGCTTGCTATAAATATATCATGAGGAGATAAGGACAGAAATTAAGGAAACTTCGTTTGTAGCCATCACACAGCAGATGTTTTGCAACACACTATTGTTCTACAGTATGTGTGGAATGAAGAAATATTTGAGCATTTTGGAGGATTTTTTGTTCCAGAAAACCAAACTGCAGATGGCATATCAAAATGTATTCTAAAACAATTAGACATAATCCTTCAAGGAAATGGGCGAAAAGTGATAGCTCAGATGGTGCAAATATTATGAAAAGCAAAAAAGGAGGAGTTCAAGCAGAAATAAAAACAGTTTATAGTAGTACACAGAATGCAAGAATATTTTTCTCTAACATTTTGATTATTCCAACATTCTTCAAGATCACCACATATATCCATTCTCAAGAAGCATATGGATGTCAACATCTCATGTCTATCATCTAGAAGGTGGAACTAACATACAGACCATGAACAGAGTTTGTGGAGACATAAACCTATCAAACAGGAAGTTAATGCTTCAGAGTCAAAAATGTGAATGACAAATACATATTCGTATGCAGGTAGGCTCAACACAGAACTTCCATTTCTTTTGACTTAAAATCATTTCTTTGATACATTAAGTACCCAACATGTAGGACTTGATTTTTCTCAATTGATAGAAACATTCTTTCCTCTCATATGCACATCTTTAAATCTATTTGTTGTGGAATTATCAGAGAGGCTGCAGTTCTGCAACAAGTTCATGAAAATTTTCAACCTTCAAAAAGCTGCCTTACTGAAACCCAATCAAATCAAATACAGATCAAACCATTGCAGAACAGGAATTTTACAATGCCTGAATGAGGATAATTTTATATTTTGGTTAGAGCTTTTCATCAGATTATGCCTCATGTTGAAGTAATTTACAACCAAATGGAATCTCAAGAAATTAGTGTTTAAAGTCAATGAATATAACAGATTTCAAAACTGCTATTTTAGAAATAAGAAACTAGAAGTATTGTGAGAATCCTTCAAAGACATTCATGGCAGAAGCAAAGGAAGCATGTGACTATATGTGTTGACATAATGGACAGCTGCTAAGTTGTCCAACAAGAAAAGACTCATTAGTTTTAAGAATGAACTGACCATAGAAGAGATAGTACTGACTTCTGAATCATATCCCATGATTGACAAAGAAAAGCTTGAAACTGAACTAAAAGTATTCTATTGTAGATCCGATATGCATGAATATTGCAAATTAATTAAGCTGCTGAAATTTATCTTGGAAAATAATCTAGATTGTGTCCTTAGAGAAATTATGAAACTCATGAAAATCCTCTGGACAATTCCCATGACTACATCAGAGCCAGAATGCTGCTTTTCAACACTGAAAAGAAAAGAAACTTTTCTAAGGAGCACTATGAATCCTGAAAGACTAAGAACACCATCTTGATCTAAAAGTTTTCTTAAGTCATCCATAGATCAAGGAGAAAATTATTAACAATTTCACTCAAAGTAAAACAAGAAGAATGTATCAACTGTAATAATTTATAAGTAAAAAATATTTTTTCGTTTAATATTTTATCAAGTTCATGTATAAATTTTCTTTTTATGTGCATTTTGTTTTACACAATATTAAAACAATGACTAAAAATTTCCTGAAGCAGCATCCCCACTAGTTTTAGCCATTGGTCACAGACATCCTATAACCTCACAGCACTTTTGATCCTCATTGGGTATAACATGGTGAGCCTGACTTGATCTGAGGGCTTTCCCATGCTGGTCAGTACTGGCACCAGTCAACTGATGGTTATCTAATAATGGCTCTGTTTCTTTATCTACTCTGTCCCATGTAGTGATTGATGGATCAGTGTAGTGAAGATTGAACTTTCATCCGCACTTAAGCAGTGAATGAAGTTGGCAGAACTGTGCTATGGAAACTAAAGGACAATACCTCTGCTGGCGAAAATAAATGATGAAGAGAGTTGTCGGGTTAATTCTCAATTGGTTTTATATACTGTAGATACATAGAATTAACCCTTCCTGTGGAATCTAGTAATAAGGAATCTCCCGTTTCTAAATTTGGAGCAAGCTAGCCATTACAGTGCTGTATTATGCGGTTGGGAATGCCAGTCGGCAATTCTCTTTGACAAGTCTTCTTCTGGCCCTTTCTTGGCTTCAAAAAATTATTTTGTCTATTTTCAAAACAATCACCAAGTATTTACATTTCAATACGACCCAAAAATTGCCTGTGACGATTCAAAACAATCAAAAACAATTTCATATTGGTTAAAGGAATTTATCCATTTTTAACAAATAACTATGAAATGTTATTTTCCAAAACAAACAATTTCAAATCCCATTGTTTTATACTTTGGCTTTTAAATAATTTTCTGCATGGTCAAGAAAATCATGCTTTATAATTATTTTCCCGATCTCATGTTGCAATCTTTTCACTTCAATAATTTCCACATTGCAGCTCTTCTAATGCTACAATTCTATCCAAGGTTCTCACACGAACCCTTTTCTTGATCCTATGTCACATTCCTTTCAACGACTACCAGTAACACTTTAATAGTGTCACAGGGTATCCCATGCAAAACCTATAACTTGTGCCAAAACTAAGTTAAGCTTATTGTCTCTCATGCCATAGGGTAATAGTAAGCTAGTCTGGTGGACTAGAGTTCAATACTCAATAGGTACTCCATACTTGTGGCAAAACTAAGCTCAGTAAAAAAAAAAAATTCCCTTGTGTTCCTTAAAAAAGTGAGTTTTGTATCTTCTAGTCCAATGAGCAGGTTGATGTTATTGAGAAAAGCATGATTTTCTAGATCATTTCATACTTCTCATGTTCAGAAAATGTATTAAGATTAATTTTTTTTATTAAATTAATACCCCACAGTGAATTAGTGAACATTATGGCAGTAAGGGCAGACAAATGACCAAAAAGAAGTCCGATTTTTTTCTTGTATATAACTCCAAAGTAGGTTTCTTCATAATTTAATTGTTAATTCGAGTTCAGCATATACATTTACACAGAATTATGACGATTTGGGAAAATTTTAAGAGATATTTAGCGCACGGACGTTAAAAAGAAAATTTACCTAATTGCCATGATTTGTGAATAGTTTCTGAAAGTTTCATTAACATCCAACAATTATTTTTATCTTTGCAAGATTTTCCAAATTAATGTCTGTCATACAAAAAAAAAAAAAAAAGTGCTAAAAATTTGTTATTTTACTAGTTCTGGTGATACAAAAATAGAAACAAGGTTTTTTAATCAAAATTTAGAATGTTCTAAAAAGACAGAAATTTTTTTAAAAATAATTAAAAAAATACTTCGGTCTTTACTCTTAGTCTTATAACTAACATGAACATTTACGATGAAATTTTGTTTCCGTCAAGTTTGGCGTCTTTTTCATCAGACTATATACTCTTTTTTTCTTTTTTTTTTTTTAACAATCTCATGAATGTACCTAGGTTAGTAGGTAGAATGAATTTTATTTTAGATTTATTAATAAAGAGAATTGTTGTGTTGACATATCTGTCAATATGGACGAATTTATAGATTTTAAGGAGGAAAAAAAGAAAAAAGAAAAGAGATTCAATCAGCTTCATTTTAAAAAATTTAAAGATTCATTTAAAAAAAATATATTTTAAACTTAGGTATCTCTTTTTTGGGAGGTACTACGTAAAAACAAAAATCTCAAAATTTAATTCAAACATGTAAAAGATGACGCTTACGTTAACGAGGCGAGACATGGTTAACCATTACTACTGCATAATAGTTAATTCTTTCCTTTTAATGGGTGTCCCATACTTGTACCGAAGCAAAACTTAATAAATAATTACACCAAAAAAGTACATTTTCATAGAAAAATATACACTTTTGTTCTAGAAATTAATATATGAAATCGACGACATCCATTTTTACTGGTCTTTTTACATTTATTTAGAGCATTCTTAATTTTTTATGAATATAAAAACATTTTTGGTGTGAGCTATATGTTGATTAAAAATGCTTAATTATAATTTATAACTTACGACTCGATTTTAAAAGTATCAGTTTAAAATTAAACAATTATGAAGTACCAATTAAATGAAAATTGTTTTATTAAAAAAAATCACATCATGCATTTATTTTTCGCAATAAAGACTATTAACCGGAAAAGGCAAGAAAAATGAATAGACAAGCATAGGGAAAATAGGTTTAAAAGGTAAAAATCTATGAAAATGATGATTTCTGAAGTGTTTTAAACATTTTAACGCTTAAAAAAAATAATTATGACTAATGGTTTAAAAAAAACCAAGCTTTCAAGCACAAGTTAAAATTCGAGATAGAATTATCTTGTAATAAAAACTTTCTTTGATACAGTTTAAACCATATATAATATTGATCAGAGATTTCAACTAGTTAATGTTCTTAAACACTGACGCACAACCTCAAGATGATGAGTGAAATAATTAGTGACAAGCACTTGGGTACGTAAAGACGAGCAAGGATAATGCCTCCATTTTTAAAAATGGATGCAACCGGTAAAGTTAAGTAAACCATAGGACCTAACAACAATGTGCAATTCAAGGAAATAATTTATTATCAAAGGGATAAAATAAGTCAATAATTAATAACATTTTACTGGTAGGAATAACGAAAAAAAAAAAAAAAATTGCATACCGCTGAAGTTTCGCTTACTGGATCGTAATTAGATTCACTCCACTGCATGTTCAAAATACGCACGCCGGCAAAAAGACTGATTGTCGAAAACGAGGCTTAGTCAAAAGAATAACAGAATAAACAATTAATTATTTCACGAATTCTCTTATTCTTATATTCTTTCAAAGAATTTATATTTTATTTTTAATTTTCAGTCTTCGTTTCTTGTTTCCCCACATAAATACTGAAAAAAAAAAAAAAAAAAAAAAAAATACAGGATTTCACCATGTCAAATGTACCGCTGGAGTTAAGGAAACAACTCTTTAGATCACCCAGTAATGAAGGTAAATAGTATTAACTCGTTAAACCAAAAATATCATTTCTTTTTTCTCATCTTACTTTTTTTTTTTTTTTTTTTTTTTTAATATTAATATTGCTTCAGACAATTAAAAAAAAGTAACCAGTTTGTGGTTAATAAAAAGTAAAAAGAAAACTATTTTTTATTAAAACATATGCTTTGTGTTAAAAAAAAAGAAAAGGGAGGTTAATAATAAAATGATTTTTATTATTTTATTGCAAGTGTGAACTTTTGAGTGTGAAACGACTTTCCAGTGTTTTTTAAATACAATTTTACCTCCCTTATATTACCTCATATGAATTTATGTATGATCACATTTCTTATCAATTTTCATAAATAAAATAAATGAAATAGGACTTTCTTAATTAAAAAAATACAGATTTTTAAAGTTTCAACTGAAAAAAATGATTAACGCAGAACATGTGACACCATAATTTTTTTTCAACTTCATTTTTTTTAATTTGTGACCGCATACCAGGAAGAATACTTCCCTGGCCTAATTGTGTTAGTTAACTAATTATTGTGTTAACTAAAATATTAATTTCAGGGAGACACCCAGCAGACAGTACCTCTCCTTAGCGTGTATGGGTAGTGAACGTGAGTGCTTGAGCAATTTTTGTACGGCATTTCCGAAATCTCACATTAAATTCCGACCTTGTGTCACATTCTGCCGCAACGTAGGCTAGGTCATTAGAAAATGAAAAGAGAAAAAACCTGAAAGACACATTCTGAAATAATTTTTTAAAAGGTAAATTTTCTTTGCAGGGTTTTTTTTAAGCAACGCAAAGAAAATCTAGTATAACTTTCCCAAATCGTCATATTTCTGTGTAAATGTACATGCTGAACTCGAAAATAACGCCCAAATTTTGATAAAACCTACCCTTTTGAAGTTATCGACAATAAAAATTCGGACTTAGTCGTATTCATTCGTCCGCCATTACGGGTCTTGTTTATTAACTACATTCACTGCGGAACGTTTTACTCGCGGAATCATAATGAACGGCCTATTTACTGCTTTTTACTGATCTTACTCGTGTAAACTACTGCGCACAACAATGACAAGCGGTAATTAAAGCTTTCTTTTTAAATTAAAACAAACAAATAATAAAATAAAGCTTTTCTTTTAAATTAAAAATAAAACAAATAATAATTAATGCACGAACTTTGAAAAGAGCATGATATCTAACTCCAACCCTAGGTTGGGGTTAGAGAGTTAGTAGTAGGGTTTTTTTTTTATTTATGAATGAACTAAAAAACTGAATATTTTTATTAAAAAAAAAAACTCGTAAAATATTTTGGAGGGTATGTTTCACCCTATCCTTTTCGATTTTCGATACCTTGTATGTACTTTTTCATACCAAAAATAATTCAAACTAAAAAAAAAAAAAAGTTTTCAAGAATGCTTGCATGAATCAAAACACCTTCTGTTCTTTGCTTTCAGATTGGACAGAAAAAAAAATCTTAATTTGCATTATAAGCCCCCCCCCCGGTATTGAGAATGTTCCATTCTGGCATGAAATTGCATGGTTATTTCGAAAATGACATTATGATGATCAGTAAGATATGAAAAGTTGTAAAAAGGCCATTAACTGAGTAAGCTTCCACGCATTACTACTAGAGGAAAATGGCAATCGGATCGAACTTACATTGATGATAAATCAAAAACGGTAATCGAGTGCAAAAAGGATAATTAATTTTGATATCTAGCGTTGACTGACTACTATTCAATATCGGAAGAAAAGTATATGAATCTAATTTCATACCTCCGGTTTTGTCAGTTTTTGTCTTGAAAGCACAGTTTTTCCCACAGTAGGTTGCCATTTCTGTGGTAGACCAGTTGCCATCCAAGGCTGAGAGAGTAGAAGAGGATTCATACCCTTTCCCAAGGGTATTAGCACGGAAGTAAATGTAATGGATTTGACTGGAATTCGATCTCCAATTCCTCAATCCAAGCCGCTATTCACGACTCCATGGTGCTTCCTTGCAGGCTACCATGGAGAGGTAGAAGAAAAATTATTTTCATTCTGTTTTAAAAAAGAAAGCATTACTTTTAGTTTTAGAAAACTCTGTTAAGTCTTCTATTTACTAACAGACTTACTTTGGAACTCATCTCTAGGACAAATATTGGATTTTAAAGAGAATTTTAAATTTGTTTACATTTTTTTTATTTATTTTTTTTTTTTATAATGGTGGCTCGATGAATCAATGAATAATGGAAAAATGTGCCAATGTTTTATATGCCTATAAAATTTATTTATGTACGGAAATTAATTTTTCTTTTAATTCGGATTAGGTCATTATCCTGCAAATAGAACCGAAATCTAAGTTTAAAAAAGTGGCATTTATTTATATAAAGCTAGTTTCCACCATCCATGGGATAAAATGGGTCTATGATTTTTTTTTTTTGATTTTTTTACAATACTGATGACAGGCACTTGTTTTAAAACTAATGAAGTTTTTTTTTTTCAACAGTTTATTAAACTTGTGAATTTCAACAGGAAAAACTTTTTAAAAGAAATTTATATACTGACCTGAACATTTAAAAGAACACATTAGAAATATTTTTAAAAATTTCTGATTTCCAAGTACACCAATTATGTGACATTTTCACTAATTTCTTCGAAACCTTGGACTTGACATTTTTCCTAATTCATCAATGACTATCTTATGCTGATGACAACTATTTACTCCTATCTAAATTTCTAAGTCTGATCAGTTTGATAAGGTCAAATTGGTAGCTGATGAAAAAAAAAAATTACCTGCAATTATTGTTAACTGGGGCAAGAAATAGCTTGCTAATTTTAATGCTTCAAAAATGAAACTGCTCTTTTTTTAAATAGTCTTAAAGAACCTTTTGGCTCTCCATCAGCATGGCTGATGCTAAACCTTCAGGAGAGTCTCATTGCACCTTCTCAGGCAAACATTTTTCACTGACATGAAGTGGAAAGATTATATTGAATCAGTTATCAATTATCTGCTGATAGGAAAGTTGGTTTACTGTTTTAAATCTACCATTCATCCATACATTGAATATTGCTGCCTCATCTGGTCTGGTGCTTCTGCAATGTTCTGTCTTGACTTCAGACACTTTCCTATAATATAGCTTCCCTGTACCTTTTCTATAAATATTTTCATAGTAATTGTTCTTTGGTACCATAACTTTACAAATTTAAATGCAGTACTAGACTGGCAACTAGGTTTTATCATTTTACAGTTGAAATTTATAGATATAATCATGAGATCTCTAATTTTCTTCACTTGCACTTTTCACTTGTGGAACTCTTTCCAGTCAACTTTGATCTTCAAAAATTTAAATGCGATGTCAATCATTTCTTCTGTCTTATTAATTCGTGTTTTTTTTTTTTTTGTTTTTTTATTATTCTGCCAGATCCTCTAACCCATTGCGCCTTAGTGATTTTATTGCTTTGCTTGGGGCAAAATGATTAAAAAAGGAAAATACCTTTTAAAGAAATTGTTGAAAACCCAACTTTGATGCCAGTGCAAATTTTAATCCAATTTGAATATAGTTTAATTTTATATCCACTTTTTGGTTTGAAAGCAATTTAAACTGAGCTGCAATTATGTCCTGTTTTGTAGATTTTCAATTATCTGTGGTTAGGTGTAGGTTGCATAAAGATCTTTGCCACTGACTGGTTTTCTTTTCAATTCTTCTAGCTCAATACTTTGTGTTAGTTGACTGACATATTGCAGACTACATTTCTTACTTTCAAAGATTGTAGCTTTTTACATTTCCCTCTTTCACAGAGAAAGAATACAGAATAGAAACTTACTCAAACATATTTCAAATATTGTTGGAGCTCAAAAATTTCTGTGATTCCATCAGACTGTCTTTTGCTTTATTACAATGAACAATGTTGCTCTCTTCAAGTGGAGTGATGTCATCAAATTGATCTCTAGTTTCACTAACATGTTCTTGCTCTCAACACCTTTTTGTTCAATCTTTCAATTTCTTCCAACTTCAGTCTTTCCTTCACTTCATCTATGGTCAACTGTTCCCACTTTGGAATTTATTTAAAAAAAGATAAAACTTCACTTTCTTTTTTAAGGGACAATGTGTTGGTTATGAAACTAGCAATAGCATGTTCTCAATTGGTCTTTAAACAAATTTGCTTGAGTAAACCAGGAAAAATTCTTTCAACATTGGATAAACAGGATTCTCTTCAGGATCATTTCAAAGTTTTTTTTTCCACTCAACTATTAATAGCTTGAAGACTGTCACAGCAAGTTAAATAGAATTCTGATATCATTTTTCATTGCTACTCCCGCTATTTTGAATGTCTAAATCCTATGACCATCATGAATTATCAACATAGGCTTTTTATCATTAGTAAGAAAAAGAAATACTTATACACCAGTTTTCAAAAACAATATCCTGCATTCACTTGCTGGATGAAAATACATATCAGCAATCTGGTGGCCATCATTCTGGCCATTTTTTGTACAAATACTACCCCCTGAAAATAAAAGATGAAAGTAAATTCTCATTTGTTGCAACACAAAACAAAACTGATAATATAAATTTAACAGAATCCATTATATTATACTTGCACTTGGGGTTAAGATATTTTTGCTAATTGGATTCATATTAAATCCAGTTTTATCAGTTGTAAATAGAAACAATATTTTGTCCCAGGTTTTGTGAAAGTTACTTTCATGAGTTATGGCTTCTGACCTGGCTTTTACTGGTTCA